ACTCTGCTCTTGTGGGACCTCACTTGGAGTGTTATGTGCAGTTCTGGTCTCAACAAAAAAAGGACATGGAGCTGTTGGAGCAAGTCCAGAGGAGGGCCACGAGGATGATAAGGGGGCTGGAGCACTCCTGTATGAAGACAGGCTGAGAAAGTTGGGGCTGTTCAGCCTGGAGAAGAGAAGGCTGCGTGGAGACCTCAGAGCAGCCTTCCAGTAGCTGAAGGATGCTGGGGAGGGACTCTTCAGTTGGGACTGTAGAGGTAGGACAAGGGGTAATGAGTTCAAACTTAAACAGGGAAAGTTTAGATTAGCTATAAGGAAGAAGTTCTTTACAGTGAGGGTGGTGAGGCACTGGAATAGGTTGCCCAAGGAAGTTGTGAATGCTCCATCCCTGGTGGTGTTCAAGGCCAGGTTGGACAGAGCCTTGGGCGACATGGTTTAGTGTGAGGTGTCCCTGCCCATGGCAGGGAAGTTGGAACTAGATGATCTTGAGGTCCTTTCCAACCCAAAGATTCTATGATTTTAAATTTCCAAGAGATACATGCAGCAGCTTGGGTACTGCACTGCTAGAGCCTGCAGCATGTTCTCTCTCCATGCAAATTCATGCTGCTGCCCTAGCTGGTGGATAATACAGAAAGTTCAGGTGAAACTTCTTTCACTGTGGAAAAACTACTCCTGATGTGGTCAAGTCACGGTGCTTAAGTCTCTGTCTCCCTCTCATGGCTAGAGGACAAATACAATTGTTCATTTAGATCATGGAATTAAATGTCTTTCATTACTGTCCACACTGTGATACTGTATTAAACTCTACTTTATAACTATGGTGGTGCCCCATGCAAAAGTCAAGAAGCTTAAGAGAGGCTCTTGCATCTTGGGCAGTGTTAGCCACAACCTGGACCTCCATCTAAGGATCTCATGCCTTAAAGCATTCAGCATATAAAAGTGATGGATTTATGATGTTAGCTGCAGTAGCTGTGTAATTGAAACACAGACTTGAAAAAAGCTATGTTGTCTTCACAGTTCCTTGAGCAGAAGTGTGTAACATGGCGAAGTATGATCAGATTTTAAGGCAAATGACATGCTAAGTAAAGGTAACTTATTCTGATTAGGAACCTCTCAAATTCTTGCAAGCAGGAAGATCTTTTACAGCACGTTATATGTTTTTTTCTTACCTTTTGGAAGTGGGGGCATATCTGGAACATGAGTTTCCATCCCAGGCACAGTATGGGTCTCTGGCAAGGCAGCAGTCTGCACAAGCCTTTCCATACGTGTGACATCTGTGCAGTGAGAGCTGAACCAATCCATCCCTGGAACCAATGTACAATTGTTGCTGCAAATCAGGCAAAGCAAATGAATTAGGAGTGTTCTCTAAGCAGCCTGTTTAAAAAGTTCCCTTCTTCAGGGCCATGCTTACAGATTTTCAAGCTGTCCCCTTTACCATAAAATGTTTCTCAGGGCTCAGTGTGAACTGGCCAGTTCTGATCCATCCCTGACAACATGGCAGAGAGGAAAAGGAACTGCAGTCCTGGAAAGGCGCTGATGCTCAATTCCCTTACACCTTTACTTTGTGCTGTAATAAAAAACCAGAAACCAAACCATGGAAAGAATGGTTCAATAACATATTTAAAAAACAGGGGCTGGATAGCCATGATGTTAGGAATCTGGGAACTAGGGATGACTTTCTGTGAATAAAACTTCATCTTTTGTTCTTCTCCTTAGGTAGAATGAGGATAATATTACTCCCCTCTCTCCCCAACGTGTGAGTAGATTGCCTGTTGAGACAAGGGTGGTCCAAGTACTTGCTGTTGAGCTGGAGCTGGCTCATGCAATACTTCCAGCTGGCCTGCCACCTTCTTTCAGGGGAGATGGGACCCAGCTGTGCTGTGCGTGCCTGAATGGCAAAATACCTCCTTCCGTGTGAGGGAGTCGTGTCGTGCCGGAGCTCCTCCGGCCACTTCTGCAGAGCAGGGAGGGATGGCTGTGTTGTCACGCTGCCTCCCAAACATGCATGTAGCCATCATAGAGCTCCGAGCTGCCATAAAACTGTTTCCCATCGGGAGATTCCCAACGGGGACTAGCTCGTGTGCAGCCAGGATTGGACCACCCAGATTTAGATTGCAATTTTAGAGGAGGGGGACTGGGTTTCAGTCTGTGTGCACACAACTTTTAGCACAATGAGGCCCTGATCTCTCTTGACTACTAATAAAAATAACAACAATAATTGTAAAAATAAATTATTACTAGACTGTAAAAAGACATATATTTCTGGTGTCCGGAAAAAGAATGTGCATTGACTTCACTCACAAATCCCACTACCGTATGACTAAAGATGTGTTTCCATGAATAATTACCAGCTTGGGTAAACAAATTACTGTTTGTAAGCAAATGTGAATTAGGCAGGCAAACAAATTCAAACATATCTCCTTCTTTCCAGTCATATTTTAAAAGCCATTCATGGAAAGCTTGGCCAGTAAGTAGCAGGCATCACCTGAAAATAACAAACTGAATATTCAGTGTACCATATATCCTGCAGTAATTAAACAATCTCATGATTACCTGCTTCTGAGAAATCTCCATGGTTGAGATAAATGAAGGGTGCTGAAAAATGAATAAAGGAGGAGCATTAGTTCACACATTCTCTGTTCTTAGTGAAAAAAAGAACAGAACTTAAGATACAAAAAGCAAATAAAACTACAGATTCATTTGCCCGGTTTAAACAAAAACCAGAAAATCACTAAATTCATGCTTTCAAAAATAGCTCCCACAAATTTTCCCTGCTACTTATGAGGCAACTGGCTTTAATTCTCAGAGCCTACTATCTACTCCATCCTGGGGACTAACAATGAGCTTTCACATCAATTTAAGCTCTTATTAAGGACTATTTGAAAGGCTTAGATGGCACTTAAGGGATACATAGGCAGATCCCCTGCACCAGGATGTGAGAGACACTGAAATTTTTGCCAGTGAGTGATGTAAGAACAAGACAAAGCTCAGGGTATTATCTATCGCCTGATAGAAGATGATTAATCTAAGCCTATTGTTTAATCCTAATGCAGTCTGAGGAAATAAGGGATGTTTTTCAGCCCTTCACCCCCTTCAATTTTCTGGATTCAAAACCATAGAGGTAACAGTTACGGATGTTACCAAAAAGCATGCAAAGGAATGTCTTCTGAGCAGAAAAAAAATCAGCCATTTTTTGTTCTAAATATGATATGGTATATTTGACCTTGACAGTATGCTTAAAGAATGCAGCAATTTGATGCACATACTGAAACTGCTGATTACTTGGCAGGCCACTGAGTAATCTTGGTGTTTTCTGAGTGATATTTATAATTGGTGTCCAAGACAGTGGGAAGAAGACATGGAGAGCCTTTAAATCAAAGTTTCATCACACACATGACATATCAAAAGGCATATGGAGAAATATATTATACAAAATAATTATTAGAGATCCTTTCCTAACACTTGGAGAACACTCTCTAAGTCCCAAATTAATTTATTTACTGTGGACAAAAATTCTGGCTTGTGGTTATGAACTCAGATAACACATAGGAGAGAGGATGTGTGAGAAAGTAATCAGAATGCCAGGGATGTAGCTAAATTTTGATGAAAAAGCAAGGTGAAAAGTAAAGAACTATACAGCATGAGAAGAAAGCAAAGTAAGAATGCAAAGAATGAAGAAGAAACTACTAAATTGAAAAGAAAATCAGTGAGGAAGACACAGGTCTCCATTTTCCTATTGTAATGGTATGTCCACATCAGCTCCTTCATCAGTAATGAGGTTAATCAGAAATTGTGCCTGAGCAACAGAAAGGAGGTTGGGCTTTTTACAAATTCTATTTATGAAGAAGGCATTGGTGTTAGCAGGGTTCCAGTTACTTTTTGTCTTCTTCACTCAGCCAGAATACCAAATCAAAGCAGCCAAAACCACTGAGTCAGCCTTTACCAATAATCAAAACTAACTTTGCTTTATTTCTGTATTTTCAATCCCTAAAGTTGTTATTGTAAAGAATCTCACTGCATCTGTGGAATTTTGTTTGTTTGTTTGTTTGTTTTAAAACAATTATAATGGTACTAACAACAGTCCCAAAGCTGAGACAACAGAATAATTGGCATTAAAAATAAAATACAGCTAATAAAATAATTGGGGCTTATAATAAAATTTCCATTTAGAAAAGGCAGGATAAATGAGACTTTCTATGAGTTTGAAACATCACGGTCTGTTTGGTTTTGGACTTTTTTCAATTCACTTACCCAAAGAATACCAAGGCATTTAAAAATTTACATAGCATCCCTCTGGAAACTTGAACTAGTTCCAGTAAACAACCAGCCAGACAGACAAAGCCACTTTGGGCCTTAAAGTCCCCTGAATATTATTTAATTGATGTTGCAGATGTTAATGCTTACCTTGAATATCTGCAGCTCTTCCAGGACCACCTCCTCCTTAGTCCACTTCTCCTTTGTGATGCTCACCACTTTCAGGACTGTGCCTATGTCTGAAACAAATGTTCATCATGTAAAACCCACAGTTGTTTCAGTACATATGTGCCACTTAATTTCATGCCCTGAAGATAAAGATAATGCACCAAGGATGCAGCCTTCAAACAACATCTATCCCTATCTGCATCTATTGCTATCTACTTAACTTGTGTTTATGGCTTTACTGTATGGCTGAGCCAACACAATTGTAGGCTGCTCCTGGCAGAGATGGTCTAACTCTCCTGCTACACAAACACACAAACAGACAAGTACATCCATGCTTCCAGCTAGAAGTTTCCACAGATTTCCTTGATAAAGAATTGGGGCCCGTCTGACCGTAAAGAGATCCAGCTTGGAGGACTAAATTGGCAGAAAATTATTTATTTTTCTTTATAGACTTAATTTTCATCCAGGAGAGCCCTTTAAACCAAACAGGGTTTCATTTTAATATGGGGAGGCAAGCTTTAAAATTTCTCTTTTAATTTTAGAGGAATTTTTGAACAAAATCTCCATTCAGAACCAAAATCTCAATCATTACAGAAATTACTTCTTTGGATTTGTTTTTTAAAATTAAATGTATTCATTAATTTTAACCTGAATTCCTGCTTGGTGAAAAAAACAAAATAGCTGTTCATTTAATCTCAGACCATTGCATATTGGTGAACTTTGAATGGCCTTAAAAAGTACTCTTAAAAACTGCTCAGGGGAAAGCAGGCTGGATGACGGGATATGCACAGCTTACACTATGCATAGTATTGAAATGATGAAAAATAACACGTTATAATGGAAAAATGAGATTTTCAATCTTGTTTTCCCAAACTACCGAAGATCATATTACCAATCAAAGCCAAAAGTATTTGTTTGCCTTACATATTAGAGCTCTTGTTTGTTTGTTTGACATAATTGCCAAAGCCTGCAGATGTACAAGTTGGCTGTATACATTCAAACATATAATAAACTTCTGATCTGCTGCTTAGAATCTCCTGGGTGATTTGGTATATCTGTATTCAGACTCTATATAATATCTGAAATTTTATCTTTCAGTTTATTTTTTTCCATAGGACGAGTTTGGAGAATAAAATAGAACAAAACCATGTGCTTCTGGAAAAGAAAACTCACTTTTAAGGGAAGAACTGCAGATAAATAAATATCTGCATATTATGGAGTGCCACCTAGTGACTGCATGATACAAGCTCTCCCTGACATCTCTCAATCTGAGGATTTACTCTGAAAGAATTAGCATTGGTGCTGGGTCATAACAGTTAACCTGGGAGCATTTCAGTTGCTGATCTCTCAATATAATTTTATTCCTATGACAAATTTTATAGTGGAGGATAGAAAACATCTGAAAGCAACCTCCATAGCCACTAAAAGAATGCTTTGTTAATTTTAACTAGTAAAGTCCTCTTTTCAGACAGCTAAGTTTTAAATCACTTTTCCTCACTTTTATCAGAAGAAAAGTATGTTTTAGTGAGTACTCCCAAACCCTGTGTATCTCACCACTTGGTAATGTGCTCCTTTTCCTTCTCTATTGGCTATATTAAAGACTGCATTCAGAAAGCAACAAGGATTTCCCATCATCACAGCTAAAGTTTATTCCCAGCCTTCTCAGGCAGCAGGGGAGCAAATAGCACTTTAATGTCCTTTTTAATTTCTTACACCACTGTATGTGACTTGCAGGGATCACAGAGGGACTTTCACACTGTCTTTTTTTGGAAGACAAGAGTTGTGAGAGGGATTTAGCTGAAAGACCTTAATGGTCCAAGAGAGAGGCTATCTCTGGACTCACATGTGTGATAATGCAGCCGGAAAGTTCTTGAAGGCTGAGACAACCCACACTTTATAAGAGGTGATGCTTTGTGACAATTCACTCCTTTCCCCAAATCACTTCAGAGTATCCATACCTATCAAACTACCCGATATGACAGCAAAGTGGTGTAGGATTTAAACAGAAATCTTAATTTCCTTGCAGCTCATGACAGTAGGTCATCCACTGCTCTTGGATAAATCTTTTCACCTACATGTACCTAGTTACACCTGCTGTGAAATGGAGATAACGGTGATGACTTCCTTATTAAAGCATTCAGATCAAATGGGTAGAAATGCTTTATAAGACTTATTACTAGTGAGAGACAGTCAAATTGTGGATTAAGAACAAGAAATTCCAGTGGAGTAAGATGGTAGATTATTACTTCAGAAATACTATGAACAGGTACGTTAGTATTTCTTAGCATACCACGCTGCTAGGTGATTCATCCAGTGATCCTAAATTTAATTACTATGGTAAAATTAGACATTCTCCTGAAGGCATATAACTATCATAACAATGTAAATAGATATATAATTATCCATGGAAAAACTGCAAAAAGCAGGTTTCTTCCCTCACAGAATAGTTTAGTCTCTCTCTGTTCAATTCTGGTTCTCTTGTTTGGAGCTATTCATGTCACTAAGTTATATCTTTTAAAGTATTTAAGTATAATTTTTGCCTTAGGCTCAATTTTAAATCTTTGTTAGCTGTTCCATGTCACATGAGATTTAATGAAATACTATGTCACTACTGGGAACAGGAAGTACTCCTTGAAATTAAGGTAATCTTTTTTCCTTTTGATTGAATACTGATATTCTGACAGC